CATGTTAGGTCTCTTTGGGCAAAATAAACAATCAAATGATCATAGTCCCTCGATGACGCTTTCGAAAGTTGCCTAGAAATGATCAAGTCCCTTAAAGAAAGTTGCCCAAAGATACTTGGCACCATTGCAATTATGGTCTAAACGATGACCCGCGCCCGTCCCTTTCACATCCTAACACAAGATTGTCCACCAAATACAATGGTGGAACAAAATTGTTAAAAGGGTTAAAACATAGCAATAATCTTTGAGAAATTTAAGAGTTGGCAACCTCTTAGTTACTTGAATCAAACTTGCAAAAACAAAACACTTGCCTATTTTCTAAAATCACACCTCACAACACTTTCAAAAACAAACTTTCAAAAACAAATGAAAACCTTTTCAAAAGACATACACCTTTGTATACATCCCAACATGGATCATTACAAAGGTTGCCACCACATTGGCTTCTTTTCAAAACATTTTCAAACCCACACACACAAAACACCATTTCAAACAATTGAAAATTAAGGCAAGTTGATCTAAGCAAGTAACTAAGAGCCCATGGATAACCATGGATAGAAAGGGTGATAATACCTTCCCTTTCTATAATCTACTCCCCGAACCCAAGAAAACATCTCAAAGGTTTTAGCTGTGCTTTTTAAACCTTTCCTTAGGATAAAATAAAAAGTCGGTGGCGACTCTTGCTCAACTGAAACATTTGCGAAAACAAACGCAAAACTCATAGTCAGTTCTCCCACCGTATCACAGCGATGATACCGAACGGAGAAGGTCCGTTGCCTCTTCAGGATCATGGAAGCAATAAGAAAACTCTACGTAAAGCTTCTCCGCACGAGTGATCAAAGAATTAATCCCCGAGCATTCCACATTGTGAAAGTCACATTAATCATTCTATCACAAAATCTTATCTAAAAACGGACAATGAAAATGATTATTAAACACAAAATAATAAAAAAAAACTCTAATAAAATTCTAAGGAGAAAACGTAAAATTCTAAATACTATCATTTTTGTTATCAATTAAAAAGAAGAGTTAAACTAGAATAAAATTGAGATAATAATAAAAAGGAAAAATTAGAAGAGTCAGCGGGTACAAGCTGAATTCAGGATGTTGTAGAAGCGAATCGGTGCTGAGCCCAATGCGGAATGAGTCCAGGATATTGTTTTTGTTCACAAACTTCAATCTTTTCTAAAAAAGCTTCAATGGGCTTATGAGATATTATACAGCCCAGATCCATCACCAATTGTCTCTAATTCAGCAAATATTATTACATTTTCTAAAGAAAATACAAATAACAAAATTAATTAAATATGAAAATGAAGAAAGAGAAATGAAACAAAGGTGTTGTTCTTTAGGGTTTCAAGAGGTGGCTATTGGAATTCATGAATAGAGAGAATCCCTCTTCTCTCCCAAACTCCGCGCAATTCTTCTACTTTCTCCTTCGTTCATTTCTTCTCCTTCCTCCCGAACACGCTAACCCAATCTTCCGCCACTGTGACCAAAACACAATCCTTATTCTCTTTATCTCGCTCTTGGTTCTTTCTCCGACTCCATGAATATCATAACATGAACGAAAACCCTGGCCTATCTTTCACAGCGATGGCGAGTAGACGTTTGGTTACAACGGTGGCAACGCTTCAGGTAAGCTCTTGTTTTATTCTATTTTTTCCTCTTTCTTCTTCTCTATTTCCTTGTTACTCTTGTGTTTCGGTTGTGCTTGTGAATTTGATTATTGATGCTGTGAGATGATGTTGTTACGGAAGCTCTGAGATTGATGAGTTGCAGAAGTTTGTTGATGAACTGCAAAGAGGGAAGGTTGTGGATGATGATGATGGTGCCAAGGTGTCAAAGATGAAGCATGATGCAGATTGAAGAAGATTGTTGCATTTCGTAGTGCGATGAAGGGTGGTGAAGATGAAGGTTGTTGCAGTAATGAAGATTGAGGCGTAAAAGAGTGGAGAAACAGTTATGGATCAGTGGTTGAAGGTTTGAAGGTCGTTGAAGATGAGGGAAGGGAGAGGATTATGCAGAGAGAGAGAGAGAGTTTCATATCTTTTTGGAGTTTCTATGTGATTCTTAAGAGAATTGAAGAATGAATGAATCAAGGTAACGATAATTGAAGATGAAGATTGAAAGGAGGAATGTGGAGTCAGAGAGGAGAAAGATTCAGATCAAATGGTGAGTTTTTTCTCCTGTTAAAATAACGAATGTCCAATCCTCTTCTGAATCTGTTACTTTTCTGTTATTTTGTTCTTCTGTAACTAAATTCTGTTGAGAACTTGTCAAAGCTCGAAAAATCTGTTTTAGTTTGCTAGAAAGTTAATTAATATTATGTTAACAGTTGGTTAGCAGTTAGTTAGGGATTTCTGTTAAAGGTTATTTAGAAATTCTGTTATGCAGCTGGATGCGGTTAGCACGAGTTAGTTATGGAGAATTCTGTCATAGTTTCTGTTTGGAATGCTGGTTGGAATTATATTTCCCTTTTCTGTTATAAGTCAGTTTTGGAGGAAGTTGGTTAGGAAATTATGTTGAGAGTTTATTGAAATTCTATTTTGACAGTTAGAAGATGGTCTTGAAAACGATTAGGGATTGGTTGTGTTAGGACAGTTAGGATATTAGAGTTACAAGAAGCTTGTTGAGAATTATGTTAACTTTGTTAATTGTTGAGCTGGAACTTCTGTTACTGAGTTGAGAAACTTAACAGGGCCTTTATTCTGTACTTAATTTTGAACATCTGCTATGTTCTTCCTGTAACAGTTAGGAAGTTAGAGCAGTCCGTTAAAATCTGTTATGTGGTTTCTAATTTCCGTATTTTTGCATATACAGGACACGATTTGGATGCTTGCAGGCTGTGTATGTCAGGATTGGAACAAAGCAGCATCTCCTTGAAATGCAGCAAATTTTAGCGTGAAAATTGGGACAAGGCTAGGTCATGGAGTGAAGAGGGATTGGTTTTACATAGGTTTAGGAACTTAGAACTTCAAGAATTATAGGAGCATGCTTTATTATCCTTCTTTTTCGCAACTTCTAAGCAAACAGTCACTGACTCTGATGCACTTAATTTGGAAGCCTCCATCTCTGCTTTGATTCCTGCATTTTCAGTCTCTAATATGTATAAAGATACTTAGCATCTTTTAAAATTTTTGTTTCTCCTTGTAACCTCTTGAAATGTACTCACGTCCTTCCATGAGTTTGAAAAATAATAACATGATGTTGACCTTTTATGTAACTCCCCTGATTATTGTAATGTTTCTGACTTTGTAATTGTAATCTCTTTATAATTTTCTCTTGACTTTATATTCTTTTTATAATATTCAGTGGAAATTTGAATGAACCTTGAATGTTCTTGAATGATCATGTCTTAAAATTTTGGATTGAAGCTTGTGACTTGTTCTTTGATTTCAAGATAAACCAGGAATGAATTACGCGTATTTTAAAAACTCTGATCATCTTTACAATTCTGCAATTCCAAATCTCAATGAAAAGTTCAAATCACCTTGAGACCTTAACTCCCCATTCCAAATTATCTTTCAATTCACAAACCCTTGACTTGACAACCAATACCATATCAATGCCTTAAAGAACCATCGAGAAGTGAATATGGAAGTATATATGACCAGGATAGTTTTGACATGAACATCCGGTGAAACTCAGTTGATGGGTATTGCAAGCTCAAAACTCCATGAATAAGAAACCATAATCCTCTCGACTTGGGTGCCTTTTGAATGAAGAAACCTCTTGAGATATTAACAAGAACCAAAACATCAACTCAATAAGATTCTTAGCTGATGGTGACATCCTTGCAGCTTGATGAGGGAGAAGTTCCCAATAATCAAGAATATAAAACCCTAATTCCACAATTTCACTGCCTTGAAGAATAACCAGACAAATCAAGCTTTGTTGAACATATACCTCAGTCAATTGACAAAACCCTAGTCCCGTTCATGAACATTGAGCTCATGCAAAATTTGTTGATGAATGATGCATGAGGAGTCAACTGACCTAATGAAGATTATGTACATGTGAAAAGTGCGAAACGCATAAGCCAGATAAAAGTAAAAGGGGTAAGACAAATTTGGGGTATTACACCCGCATGCTGTTTCATACCAAAACACAAAAAACCAGAATGAATATCGTTTGACATATGTTGAAAATGTTCACTTTACCGATAATATATCATCACGAGAATTTAAGATCATCGAGTACACTCCTATTAAAGATTTGCAATACTTATTGCACCACCTTCTACCATATGGCGACGATCAGAAAATTGTGAAGATCCAGTATCGCTCGCCATCCATTGACAACAGAGGGAAACTTGAGTTTATTAACCATGAGCTAAAGACTACCATTGATTTACGGGCTATGTGGAATACCTATTTCGATTTAGAATTAAAAGTTCTGATCGAGTTCGATGCGATGGTTTCAAGAACGGTCAATGAAATTATGAAGATGTTGCAACGTTTACATGAATATTGAAGTGTAACGTTTAATGTATGTTTAAATCCTTTGTGTATTATTTATTTTATAATATTTTTAGTTTGACAACTTTGTTCATCTTCAATTTTGTTTTTGTGTATTTTGTAATAGATGGTATCAAAAATATAATATCAGATTAGACACAGAAATATAACTCTGATTTTGATCGTTTTATTATATATAGCCGCGTCTCAAAAATATATATCCGATTTCTGATAATATTTATATATTTTTGTGAGATGAAATAAGAATATATATATATATATATATATATATATATATATATATATATATATATATATATATATATATATATATATATATATATATATATATATATATATATATTGTGCTTTAAGAAATTGACTTAATTATTCATGGAATGGGAAGACACTGGCTAACCAGTACAAACAGGGAACTGGTAGATAAAAACGTACTCCACTCAAGTGCGGTAAAAAGTGAACTTGGTGTCAACGATATCAATTAAATGGATAAAAGCTCTTCGTACTAAGCAATCTCTGGCAATGCTCATTGTCACCTCAAATCATAAACAGAGTGCGAGTAAAGTCAAAATCGATTCATTTATGGGACGTTTCTTCATACCAGACCCCATCACCTCAAACCTTTTTGGTTCGTGCTACTGCTATCTAGTATCTACACACATTGTTTTTTCTTTTCCTCCCCTCTTTCTAATTAACGGTACTTTTTAAATCGAATCTTACCCTGCTTTGACGTGTACCATCCTGATTTCACGCTTTTTTAAGGTCTATAATCTAGCATAGCCATAGACTGTGCCTCATGCCTCATCCATTGGAATACGTAAAATACTATTAAAATATTTATTCATCCTTTATTACTCCTACAACTTTTTATCAGCTTCTTATTCTTATCCATGCATTGGTATGCAACATTTTTCAGCAGCACCCGGTTTTGAGATGGACATTCGTTCACATAGAGGTGGTAGAGAAACGAGTCCAGACCGTGCCAAAATATGTAGAATGAAGCAAAAAGTTAAAGCCATTAGAAAAGTACAAGTTGTTTACTATCTCTCAAGAAATGGCCTACTGGAACATCCACATTTCATGGAAGTTACTCTCTCTCCAACCCAACCTCTCCGTCTGAAAGATGTATTTGATCGACTCATGGCTCTGAGAGGAAGTGGCATGCCTTCTCAATATTCATGGTCTACTAAGAGGTAAAGTTTTGTATATTAATTAAGTATAAATTTTTATCTTATTACATTTTTTACTATGCTATTTCAGGAACTATAAGAGTGGATATGTGTGGCATGATTTGGCGCTGAAGGACATAATACATCCATCAGAAGGTGGAGCTGAGTATGTACTGAAAGGATCTGAACTTGTGGAAGGATTTCAACAACTGAATTTGAACGAGAAACAAACTATTCAGCAACAGCCTGATAGGTACAACGATTCGAAGAGCAAGGTTGCGTTGAGTGGAAGACAGCAACCGAAATTAGAGAGTGAGGATCATCAATATGAAGAATATGAAGAGGAATTGTTAGAGAAAGATTATGATCATTTAGATGGAGAGAAGACGAGCTATACGAGTTCAACAACAACGCCGCATTCTCGTTGCTCTAGAGGCGTTTCAACGGAGGAATTAGATGAGGTAGTTACAACTAATAATTCCAATACTACCCCTACACCTCCGAATCCAAATTCCGCTACTACCCTTGCGGAGAAACTGAAACAAAGGGATGAGAGGAGGGTTAACAATGTGATAACAACAAATTACCCGAAACGGTTTGGGAATGAGTCGCTGACGTCAGCACCGGTATCTCAAAGTCGTTATTCTGTTTTGCTGCAGCTGATAGCGTGTGGGAGTTCTGGTGCGGAGATGAAAGCAAAGCAGAATGGAGGAGAGTCCCGGTTGAGTAATGTGGGGACCAGTAAGAGGAGGGAGAGCGTTGATGAGGAGGAGAAGCCGTATGATGATGACGATGAGATATGCTTAACGGAGAATCCGAGGTTGTTAGGGAATTTGCAATCAGAGGAAAAGGAATACTTCAGTGGGAGTATTGTGGAATCCATGAAAGCGAACCGAGTCGCTTTCCAGGGTGATGAACCCGTGCTCAAGAAATCCAATTCATATAATGAAGAAAGGTATGTTTCATTATTACTTATTACTGCACCCTCTGGTACTACATCGTTAGTATTTTTTTATTTATTTTTTAAATAAGATTACGCCTAACCTTAGAGCAACCATAATTTAAATATAAGTTATACATTAATTTCTTCTATATATTTTTAGGAGGAGCAGACTAGGAATGGAGGAAGTGAAGTTGAAGGAATCTTCAAAAGAAGACCAGAGAGTGGCAAAAGGAGGAGTGAGAGAGAAATGCATCCCGCTTATAAAATCTTCTAAAGAGAGTAGGAAATGATGAAGATCTAGCATGTGAAATTGTCTATCCTAGTTCATTAAATTAATTAGGTAGATTTCTAATGAATGCTAGTACTTCACAAGTAGTTGATGTTGTTCATTGCGTGATTAATTTGTTTTCACTTCCTGATCCGATCTTATTAGTTTCGTCGCTTAATTTACAAAGTAATTAGAATAGGTGGAAATTAACTTATTCATTTTTATTATTGAATTTTAAATATATTATAATTTTGTTTAAAAAAACAATATGATTATTAAAAGAAAATACATGCTTGAAAACTCCGTGATATTTCTAATATAAAGTCGTTTTTCGTTTCTTTTGAGTCTCATGTTTTTATTTTGTAATTTTGGAGTTATCTTTTATTTAAATATTTTATTTTAATTTGTTAAAAATATATATTTATTTTTAATGTTAAATAAAATTTAAATTTAAAATTTGTTTATAATTATTATCAAATAAAACTTTATTTTAATTATTTTTTTATTATTTTACTTTTCGTTATTGAGATTGTGAAAAAATTTATTTTTAGTTGATATATTTGAAATATGAGTGTTTTTTTTAGACATTATCATTGTTGTTTTGACTATACTTCCTATGATCACAGTTATAAAATAAAAGAGTAAATTATTTTGAAGAAAATTAAATATTCTCATATGTGAGAAATCATAAATATTATTATTTGTCGTTAGTTTATTATTTGACATTATATAAAAAAATATAATAATAAAATACATAGACACGCTAAAAGATTATTGTATATTGAATTATATTTTAAGATCAACAATTCATAATAATTTATTTTTGAAATTGTGTAAGAATTACTTTAAAATTAAAAATATTTGTTTCAAGTGTTACTTTTATTATTATAATTTCAAGAAAATAAAAAATATTTTATTGTATTTGGATTCTCACATCTTTTTTTGTATGATATCTTGGTGTTTTTCATTAGTTTGTTATTTGATATTATATGAAAAATATAATAGTAAAGTATAAAAATATTGTAAAAGATTGTTGCTAAAGATCGGTTTAAAGTGATTTATATTTGAATTTTTTTTAAAAGATGCTTTAAGTTAAAAATATTTATTTTAAGTGTTATTTTTATTGTTATAATTTTAGAAAAATAAATAATAATTTATTGTGTTTGGATTTTCATATTTATTTATTTTAAAAATTTGAGAGAATATTCTTAATGTAAAAGAATATACATAGTTGAAATAATCAGTGACATTAGTTTATCATTTGAATTCTCTCGTCTTTTTGGCAAAAAAATTTTATTGTATTCGAATTATGTCATCTCTTTTACATGGTATTTTGTCATTTGTCATTAATTTATTATTTAATATTATATAAAAAATATAGGAGTAAAGTATAGACACCATAAAAGATTATTATATATTATATTATATTTTTAAATAAGTTTGAAGTGACTTATATTTAAAAATGATGTAAGAACTACTTTAAGATTAATAACATTTATTTCAAGTATTACTTTTATTGCTATAATTTCAGAAGAATAAAAAAACATTTTATTGAGTTTGGATTTTCACATCTCTTTTATTTTTGAAATATGAGAGAATATTTTTAATGATTGATTTGTTAGACCAATTTGTTCAAAATAAGATGTTATTTCGTTTTTGCGAGGGTTCAAACACATGACCTCTAATTTATAAAAACACTAGATTATGATCCGCGCAATGCGCGGATAGAGATTAATTTTTATTTTTAAAATTGATAATTTTAATTAAATTTAAAATATTTTATCGATAAATATAGTCAAACTTATAGTGTTTTATTGATAAGTACACATATATTGTATTTGGATTTTTTTATAGCAATAATCAAGTATTAAAAAAACACAAATAACCATGTTTTGGAGAAAATTACACAAATAATCATATTTCAGAAAATACTACAATGAAGGCGTCAAGTGAGATGGCATATTGTTGGCTGAAGATTTTGATGATATTATTAGAAGCAAAGTAAATTGGACGTTTCGATTGAAATGAAACAAAACGTCATGTTTCGAAATGGTAGAAGTAGTGCTTCGAATGGGCATATCAAAGCTTGGAGCTTCGAGTGACAGTTATGAGAATATATCCAAAGAAGTCTCGAAATGATAACAAGGTTGTGTCTAAGAAATGCGTTCGAAGCGAAGAAGTGTCAAAACATTTAAAATTCAAATGCAAGCGGGATGTTTGAAATTTGAAATATATGCGCTGGAGCATTCGAAGACGCGTGGAAGCAAGAGAGAGGCATTGCTCTACATGTTCTGAACGTGGCAGAATCTTATAGCAAGACCGTTATGGTCGAAGTAGTATAAATAGAAGTCTTAGCATTAGGATTTCGTGTGTCATATCTATTGTACAAAAACACTCAGTAAACATTCAAATTACCACATGGCTAGGGAAACGAATGGAAGAGCAATGTACGTATGATAACACCACATGTTTATGATTTAATGAAAACTCTTTATCATTTCCAGTACTTTCCTTTATCTTTATGTCAATACCATTTACAAGTGTTTGCATTTAAAATATTTTCATTCGAAATCTTCTCACTAATGCCTTACATTTAAATGTTTTCTTTCCATTTCAAATACTTTACATTTCAGAAACTGCTATACATTTCATGCCTTTATCTTCAAGTTTTATCATTCGAACACCTTTTTCACTTAAAGCCATTTTACAGTTTTCTTGCATTTAAACGCTTTCTTCATATTTCGAATCTTTTACATTAACCGTTTTTATGATTCGAAGTCATTTATTTGTCTTTTATGCAGTTTTTACATGTCTTTACAATTGACCCTTATTCATGCAATTTAGTTTCGCGCACATTTATTTGATCACACCTTTAGATCTTTAATAGAGAAATCGAAATAAGTTAAACACCTACACAACATTCTAAATACCAACCATGAATACCAGTTCGATCATGAGAGTTACCCTAATGACCAACACGTCCTAGGATCAATCTAGTCGATCCTGCGAGTTACCAGAGAAATTGAATAACAGTCAGTAAGTTTATTCGATAGTTTGGAGGACTAGCGGTTATTTACCAGAAATCACTGTAAACAAATTGGCACACCCGGTGGGACCAATCGTTGGACATTACGGAATTTAGAACAGAAATAAAGATTGTTGAGACGTAACCATTATAAAAATACCCTATGAGTGATAAGTTTGTTGTTTTATGAACCTAAGAAGTGGTAAAATAACCAACAGCAACCAACCCTTATCCAGAAGAAAACGTTTGAACAAGATGTCTAATTCTGACAATCAACAAGGGGAACAAAATTCCCCACATACAACAGGCACTAATGTGTCTGCTTCGATGGGAACGTCTAATGTGATCCCTTCGAATGCACAGTCTGTTGCACCTTCTACCAGTAATATAGCCACTAATGGAGTAAGTGGCATATCAACTAATAGTTCGATCTTAGGAAATACTGGAACCATTGGTTATCCTGGGGGATTCGTTCCACCATCAGGGACACAAACCCATTTCGCCACCCCACTAACTAGACCGCCCGGTTTCGATGGTAATAGAACAAGAAGTTCCTCTTATGGAATGCCAACATCTTTTATGGCAGGTTTACACAATTCCACATCGAATTCATCACCACAAATAGGGTCTGGGTATGGGGCGAATCAGTTTATGACAAATAACCAAGGGTCAGTGGGTTATAGCGCAATGCCTATTTTAACCACAGAGAACCAGTTGGCTTTTAGGCAATTGATGGATGATAGTAACCATAACATGATAGGGGTATTAGCACAAACTATGCAGGAAATATTTGCCCCAATAGTACAAAATGTGACTGTGACAAACAGAGAAAACGCATATAACATGAGTCGAATAGCAGATTTCTTTGCTCCCCCAGAGAGGCGTAGGCAGAATCAGGCGGGAGTTCGAGCAAACATACCTATTATGGAACAAGTTGCTAACGACCCAACCTATAGACCACCTAGAGAAGAAGTTAACTTGGGGGTAAGGGCACAAAGGCTAGAAGCCCCAATGATCCCAGGCCCACAAAGAGAAATTATGGAACCAGGGGCAAGGGTCGAAAGGCTGGAAGTCCCAGAGTTTCGAGAAGAACAACCTAGGGGGGTTGTCATGGTGGGTCGAAATCAAGATGCTGATGCAGTCGTTCATAGAATTCAAAACGATAACATCTTGGCAGAAAACAATTTAACCACCATGATAGAGAGAGTCATGGCCCAGAATGGCCTTAACACAGGAATTAGAAGGCCAAATTATGCTTCTCCTATATTAGATTACATAATGCATACTGATTTACCAAGGGGATGTAAAGTCCCTAAGTTTACAAAGTTCGCTGGGGATACCAATGAGTCAACAGTCGAACATATAGCCAGATATCTAACCGAAGCGGGAGATATAGCCAATAATGAAGACCTCAGGATCAAATATTTCCCAAGTTCCCTGACTAAAAACGCCTTCACATGGTTCACCACTTTGCCTCCTGGGTCCATTGATACTTGGGCTCTTTTGGAGAGATTATTCCATGAACAGTTTTACATGGGACAGTAAAAAATAAGCTTGAAGGAATTAGCCAGTGTCAAGAGAAAGTTCACTGAACCCATAGATGATTATCTGAATAGATTCAGGCTTTTGAAATCCAGATGTTACACAGTGGTGCCTGAACATGAGTTAGTCGAAATGGCCGCTGGTGGCTTGGATTACTCTATTCGAAAGAAACTAGACACTCAATATTTGAGGGACATGGCTCAGTTAGCCGACAGGGTTCGACAGGTCGAAAGGCTAAAGGCCGAAAAGGCCAGAGTCTTTAAAAATAACAAGAAGGAAAGGATCTCCTATGTTGGAACTGAGGAAGCAGAAGATTATCCTGAATTCGAATTCGAAGAGGTCGAAATCGACCTCGCTGAATTAAAACAGGCACCACCTTACTCCTGCAAATTATTAGTTCCCACAAAAGGGAAAGAGATTGTGGAAAATGAGAAAAGTGACAAATTCCCAAAGAA